CATGATCATATTTATTGGGTTTAAAATAAATATTGATCAATTTTTGTAAATTTTTAAGTATGATCTAATATATTTCATATTTTTAAATCACTATAAACTGAGTTTTTTACATTTTATTTTAATAATTGATGACTTTATATTATACAAAAAATCAATTACTAACTATTATATATAAGATAAACAATGACAAAAGTAAGAGAATAAATAAGAGTCTAAATATATATATATTTTAACCAAGCCAAATAGATAATGACCACACTTATTATTATTATTATTATTATTTTCAAACAATATATAGATAGACACACAAACAAAATGGTTGAGTAATAGCAGCTGAATAGAATAGCATAGGTCTTACAGTTTCAACAAATCAATAACATGTTCTTCATCCTTCCTCTTCTCTCACTCTATCTCTTACTTCTCCATCTTCTCTCTTTATCTTCCCTCTTCTCTCTATCCCTCTTCCCTCATTTTTAGCTCTTTTTTTTTTGTGTTTTTTCAAAAGATGCAGTTTGGAACCGTTACGTAACGGTGCGTAACAGACCGTTACGGTATCGTTACGACTACCATGGCAGCCGCTACAGCCGACACAACTGTGAATCTCAATCACACTACAAAAACGATCGTAATGGGTGGCGGTAACCACCACAACCGTTACCGTAACGATTGCGGCCGCTTTTTAAAACCTTATGTGTAACTGTTGTTTCGGTGGTACCGTAATGGCTTGTTGCACACTGTTACAATATTCTGAATAGTTTCTTTTCCAAAAAAAAAAAATCTTACAAAAAACAAACAAATACTCAAATGATCCAAACCCAAAGGAAAAACATTGTATGAATTGTTTTCTTTATAATTTTATTTTTAATTTTTATTTCATTACATTAGCATGTAAAATAAAAATATATATAAATAGTGATTGTATTTATTTTATAGTCATTTCATTTAATATTTAATTGTAAATATCTTTTATTTTGTTACTATAATGTGCTGTTTAAAAAATGTTTTAAAAAAATAATCAGTAGCTCGAAACTAATTTTTGTTTATCGCACAATTTTTATTTTTATAATTCATTTCATTTAATACTTAATTGTAAATAATTTTATTTAGTTAGCTATAAAGTGTTGTCTAAAAAAAATATCTTTAAAAACAAAATATTAGCTCAAAAATAATTTTTGTTTATGGCACAATTTTTATTTTTATAATCATTTCATTTAATTAATACTTAATTGTAAATAGTTTTTTTTAGTTAGCTGTAAAGTGTTGTCTAAAAAAATATCTTTTAAAAAAAAATCATTAACTCAAAAATAATTTTTGTTTATGGCACAATTTTATTTATTTATTTATTATAATCATTTCATTTAATAATTGTAAATATTTTTTATTTATTTAATTCAGGTATTCATCAAAAATAATTTTATAGACATTTAAAATCAATTATTCTTAAAGTCATTAACTATTGAAATAAAATGTAAAAGGCTCTTTTTATAGTGATTTAAAAATATGAAATATATTGGATTATACTTAAAAACTAACAAAAATTGATCAAAATCTATTTTAAACCCTAATAAATTTTATTTTGAAAAAAAAATATCCGTATCGGTAAGTTTTTTTCAAATTGTGTGAAAAATTAAAAAATTCATGATTCTGGTTACCGCAACTGTTACTCTACGGCCTTTACACTCCGCAATTGCAACTGTTACGGTGACTGCGACCGCTTTTCAAAACTCTTAATTATTTTAAATCCCTGATTAACACTTAATTTGGATTAACTCTTTTCATTCCATTATATTACATGTTGTCCTTATTGTGTGTAAAATTTTAGGTTCAAACTTATCTGTGTAGTAGAAATAATATAAATTCTTGATATTTATTATGAACAAGGTTTGGAAAAGCGGTTGCGGTTGCGGGGTGTAAAGGGCGTAGCGTAACGGTTGCAATAACCGGAACCGTGAATTTTTTTATTTTTTACACAATTTGAAAAAAACTTATCGGTACGTATATTTTTTTCCATGATCATATTTATTGGGTTTAAAATAAATATTGATCAATTTTTGTAAATTTTTAAGTATGATCCAATATATTTCATATTTTTAAATCACTATAAAATAACCTGAGTTTTTTACATTTTATTTTAATAATTAATGACTTTATATTATACAAAAAATCAATCACTAACTATTATATATAAGATAAATAATGACAAAAGTAAAAGAGTAAATAAGAGCCTAAATATATATATATATACATATTTTAACCAAGCCAAATAGATAATGACCACACTTATTATTATTATTATTATTATTATTATTATTATTATTATTATTATTATTATTATTATTATTTTCAAACAATATATAGATAGACACACACAAACAAAATAGTTGAGTGATAGCAGCTGAATAGAATAGCATAGGTTTTATAGTTTTAATAAATCAATAACATGTTCTTCATCTTTCCTCTTCTCTCTCTCTATCTCTTGCTCCTCCATATTCTCTCTTTATCTTCCCTCTTCTCTCTATCCCTCTTCCCTCATTTTTAGCTTCTTTTTTTTTTTGTGTTTTTTTCGAAAGATGCAGTTCGAAACCGTTACGTAACGGTGCGTAACAAGCCGTTACGGTTGTTACGGTACCGTTACAACTGCTACGGCAGCCGCTACGGCCGATACACCTGTGAATCTCAATCACACTACAAAAGCGGCCGTAATGGGTGACGGTAGCTACCACAACCATTACGTAACGGTTGCGGCCGCTTTTTAAAACCTTGATTATGAATTTTAAATGTCCCATGGAACATTTCCTTGGGCTTCCACAAATTGTGAGTGACACCAAGCAACATATTATGAACATACCAGATATTATGAATATACAAAATGAGCCCTTCTAACAGTTAACATACATTCAATCCTTTCATCGTATAATGTCTCAAAAGGTCATTAGGACATTGAGGTTTGTCAAACCCCTAACTCCAGTGGCAGAGGGAAGTGAGGACCAAGGGGGTCACGTGCCCCCCCTGGATTTTGGGTTTTTTTTTTTTTTTTTTTGCAAATATATAGAAAATATTTTAAATAAAAAAAATTACAAAAATATTATTAGAGTGAAATGTCAATGACATTTTAAAAATTATGAGAATAATAATGGTTATTTTGATTGAAAATGAAGAGACTATTATAAACCATATTATCTATGAAAATTTTATAAATTTTTTTGAATATAACGGTGATGTCATTATTATTGACATGCAAGTATAATTAATCCTACTATAAAGATATGAAATTTATTAGATTGCTAGTTACATTTGACATGTGAGGTTCACTCTCTATGTGTTTATTTATTATTAGTTGGTGATATCACATACTAATGATGACGTGTTATTCCCATTATGTTGAATTTTTAATCACATTTTGTATAAAAAAATAATTTATCATTATATAATTTATTTTAAGAGATATCTATATTTTTTTATATTGTCCATGATACATTAGTTATAAATAACATTATTTTTTTTTATGTTTCTTAAAATCAATCGTAAAAACTTGCCTGAAATATTTTTGTAAAAATTTTTGATATTGTAATTAATAAGTGCCCCCCTCTAATTTGATTTTCTGGCTCCGCCACTACCTAACTCAATCATGTGTCTAATCTAATGCATATCAACTTGTATTGGTGAAATTAGAAACTCCTTCGTAATTATTACTTTGCCTTGACCAAGGTATTTCTCTAGTTATATCCTAAAAGATCACATATATTCTATCTCTTTACTTGAGAGTGATGGATCAATTCTTAAACATTCACGTGCCTCCATGGGTGTCTCACTAAGTCCTATCTATATAGGTTCATATTTCGTTGTTAGAATATAAACATGTTGTATTGTCAAAACTTAGCAATGCACACAGGATAATCATGATGTTCTCAGTCTAAGGATTGTACACACAACTGTAACATATAAGCGAACTAGATATGTTCCTGGGTGGTCACTTGTTCTCTAACAAACACACACACGGTTGTTTGATTGTTCCACACAAGTGACTTGAGACTACTCCCTCTTCCAATTGAACAAGCATAACACAGTGCTAGTCCATTTGGTTTGGATTACTAACATCCAAATAGTAATCGTATAACTAGGAACTTTTAAGAATAAAATACTGAGAAGTACATGTCTCTCAATTTTAACTCTTAAGACATAAATTCTGAACTTTAATTGTATGGACTTACAATGTAAACAATAGCACAAAAAAGATAGTATGATAAAAATAAAACTTTTCCCTTTATTAATTAAATGACATGGGGCTTTTAGGGCATACCACTAATAGGAGCCCACCATCCATCGATGTTCAACGCTTATACTCACTTGACGACCACTCTGAGTTGTTAGCTCTAGTAAGGTATATCCTAAATAATGAAAACAAAAGAAGCGTTTAAGCTGTAGGCAATAGGTTATTTACTTTTTCTGGATTTCCTTTGAACACTTTCCCATTTCACCAAATTAGCAAGATCATAATTCTTCCCAATGTTGATATCTATCAAGGGAAAAAGAGAAGGGACACTTTAGGAGGGCCTTGGTCGATTATTGGCTAGGAATATTACTGGAATAGAATCGAACCTTAAAATTTTTCACGCTTTGTGACTTCCTGCCACAAAATAAGCCTTCTACCCCTTTGGTATTTACTAGAGTGGGATAAAGCATGGCGATGTTTCCACCATGTCAACGTCTCATTCTTGCAAGGCCCTATACAACTGGGCCAAACCACTGTACCATCTACTCCACTAACATTGCCTGGTACCATGGCTCCCTTATATGATGTGATTTTGAAGAGATTTGGAACTAGTAGTCTGTGGAGCTTACTACCATACAGTAGTCATCATGAAATCTCATCTTTGCAAATTTCCTACCGAAAAGTAAATATGTTTGGAGAATTCTTCTTAGCCATTCCTTTTAGTTCTTCCATAATTTCACCCCAAAAGACTTGTACAAATTTTATTAGCCCTCACCGTATTCCTTATTCTACACTACCCTTATCTTCCTCAGCATATCTCCCTAGCCATTTTCTAAAATTCTTTGTTCAAAAACTTCAGTTTCCTAAGTCCCAATCCTTCATCCTTTAAAGGACGACATGTTAAATCTTAATAAGTTAGTAATACTTGAATTCATTCTCAATACAAAGTGAGTAGTGATGTAGGAAGAAGAAAAATGAAGAAGGACAGAAGAATAAACCTGGGATTATGGGTGTGCAATTTACCTGCCAATCCACCCCCCAACCCAATCCAACCTGCTACCTGTAGTTTAAGAAAGGTTATTCTCTTGAAAGTATCAGTATTGACATCTTGGATAGGGATAGAGCTCATCTATTGTAGTACCTATGCAGCTATGCTACTTAAAAACATTATTTATCGGATCTCCATTATTGATGGTTGTGGTTATTGTTAGTATGGTGTTGAACATCATTGGGTTGTTGGGCTTTGTTGTTAACAGGAATCACAAAATTTCGGGACGAAATTTCCTTAAGGGGGGAAGATTGTAACATTCTGTTGTAGGAGACCGCTTGAGCAATCAAGTGGTCGCTCGAGTGGTGATTCGAGGCTCCTAGTATCTTGCCTGTTTACAGGCGAGACCGCTTGAGCAGTCAAGTCTTCACTTAAGCGTAGATGTGAGGCTCCCAGTACTTTCATTGCAGACCTGCAAAACTTCTGTAACATTGTATTTACCGGTAGAGCAATGAAGTGTTTCGCTCGAGCAGTATGTTCGAAATCTCTTCATCACTCCCATTCTTGCAGTCTTCATAGACGACAGATACATTTTTGAAGTAGAGAGGAGGTAGAGGAATAAACTGCAATATGAGCAATCAAAACTACCAGGTACTCACTCCTCAAAAATCACCCAAACTAAATATATCAAAATTATTATTTTATTATTTTTATCAATGCTAACACTGTCGCAATCTCCTCATCTCATCACAACAGAGCCTGTGTATTACTTATAATATATATATGGGGCGGTTGGGCTATGTTTTTTTATTTTATTTTTATTTTTTATCATAACAGTTTTTCCCTTTAAATGTAAAAAAAAAATTAAAAAAAATAAAAACATTGAATTTGAAGGGTTGAAATTGAAAAAAAATTAAAAAAAGATGAAGCATTTGAGATGAATTTTTTTTCATCAAATTATATAAAAAGAAAAAATTGGGATAAGAGGAATTTTTTAATAGATTTTGATGTAAGGATTGGAGTATTTCATATCAAATCAAACTTTTTATTCAAATTTGAAGTCAAAGTAGATGAAAAAATTGGTGAAGGGGTTGGAGATGCTCTAACTTGATGGAGGGTGAAGATGAAGAGGCCAAATTAATTTCTTAAATATATATATATATATATATATATATATTATTGAAAAACAAGAGAATTCCATTTCAAGTGTTCTCACTGTTGGTCTCTTGCCAAAAAACCACTGTATTCTTCTTCATAGAGGGATTTTGGGCCTATGTTCAGAGTTTAAGGTGGTTTTGTATGCTGCCTGTTTTTTTTCTATTCTTTATTATCCCTTCCCTGTGTTTATTTATTGATTGTGATGATTCACATTATTATTCATAAACTCTTTTTGTTTTCTGATAAAAAAATAAAAATAAAAATCATATTGCAGAATGGTAATTTGTTTTCTCACTTTAACAGCCCAAACATAATTAGGATCACATGCCCAATCACAATATATTTCTTTTTCTTTTTTAATTTTTGGGTCGGAGCATCGATTACTTACCTAGAATTTATGTATTTTCACCACGAATCATTGATGTCTTTTTGCTTTGTCTACATATTTTGTTTGATCTCCGTTTTGTGGCAATCACTAACCCAATTACTTTTCAATTTTCAGCAATTTTTCTGCTTAAGTGGTGATGTCTATGGATGACAGTGTGGTTTAAGGGTTCTTTAATTTTGAAGTTCTATTTCTTTCTTTCCGCTCTCCCAAAGCTCAATGTAGGCATTATCAAATCTGACTCTGTATCTAAAATATTCTTTCTTTTATTTTTGTAAAATTTTTTCTCCACCTATGATTTTGAACTGATGAAGTAGAACATGAGTGAGGTTTGTCAACTTTTTAAATTCCTAACCTCATTTATTTGGTAGACTCATCAAATAATGGTTTGTGACATGATTTTCATTTTGTTCATTGACGTCTAAAAGGAGACGGGCATGTTCTCTTTTATATGTGTAGCTTTTGAAATCGATTCTGCTTCAAACTCTACTCTTAAATCAACATTGGAATATGTGAAGCGCAGCACCTTCTACTTGCATCACACACATGCCACTATGGCCCCGTTTGGTGTAGCTGTTAAAACAGATTATAGATTATAGCTTTAATAGATTAGCCCTGTTTGGTAGAGCTGTGGGAAAGTGCTTATAACTTATGCCTAAACAGCTTATAGCTTATAACTATTAGGGCTGAGCAAGGAATCCGTGAAATCCGTAATCCGATCCAGTCCAGTCCAATCCGATAGGTTTGGATTGGTTTTTTGAATCCGTGGTTCGGTTCCGGATTGAATAATTAAAAATCCGTAGTTCACGGATTGGTTCCGGATTGAATCCCACGGTTCCGGATTGGAACCGATCCGGACCGTATACAAATAGTCTATATTTTTATTATACAACCTCCCCCATAGTATCTTCTCTTATTCTATATAAAATCTAAACTCAAACCTAAAACCGTATAATATCTTCTTTTATTACTTTTGTTTGTTAGTTTTAAGTTTTAATTTGCAATGGTCTAAATACTTATGGTGAAACCAGTTTTCTTATGGTTGTTTAAATTCTAGAACAGTATGTCGTTATTATAGAAAAACATGTTGCTATTATGGAACTAATATAGCGCTATGTTTATATTTTTATGAAATTCAAGTGTTATATATATATTTTTGTTATTTAATTATGTGAATCCGTGGTCCTAAACCGATCCAATCCGTATTTAAATGGATTGGTTCGGATTGGTTCCATGATTTAAACGGATTGGATTGGTTCCAATTTTTCAGGAACCGTAGATAACGGATTGGTCCTGATTTTATCCCAATCCGATCCAATCCGGACTATGCTCATCCCTATACCTGAGATACCAAATTAAGAAACCATCATGCACTAAGTAGTTAAATAAATAATAAATAAAAAGTTGGCCTTTCTCAAATTTAAGTTTGAATTTGATTCTTATTTTAGTTAGTGGGATTTGAAAGGACTAAATAAGAGATGGGTCGGACCCAAGCCTTGGACTGGTCCAATCCCCTAAACCCAAATCCAAATGGGTCAGATAAGCATGCGGGCAACCCAACTAAGTCTAACTTCATTACCAACAGTCCATCCAAGTCCTCAAGCACTTGGGCCCAACTCGCAGTGGAAAGGCTAGTCCAGCTGCGATACTAGGCTAGGGCCGAGCTGCAAGACCCATTCTATGGGCCGAACTGATGGGTCAAACCCATCATCAGAACCAAAGTAGGCCGAATCCGTACACAAATATCCGAATGGGCCAGCCCATCCCAACAGTAGCCTCGCAAAGGGCCGAGCCGAGGCACAACAGTGCCAAGTAGAGGGAACCTCTCAAAGAAACGTGGAAGCTATGAGTATATGCATGTGCAAGTTGCCACCTCAGCTGGTCCCCTACACCTAGAATCACGGAAGCAGTTGAACTAGAGGAATGTGGTTTGTTATCAGCATGACTATAAGCACGTCTAGGCAACTACCGAATGGTCCCCCACCTGGGGCCATGCTAAAAGGAAGCTTGGCAGCACCAGAGCTCTATGAAACCATATTAGGAAACAAGCAAGGAACTCTATATATACTACAGAAACTTCACATTGAAGGTAACTGATCCAAACTGAACTCCACTTACAAAAAAAAAACTCAACTCTCTACACTTCTTCTCCGATCACTGATTCCCACACCGGAGGGGTTATCCGGCCAACCCCGGCCGGGTAGCTTTTATTGTGCTTCTTGCTACAGGAACCTCAATCCTTGGATAGTCCAACCGAGTGCGGAGCCCCGATCCACTTTCATCTAGTGTGGAATCCAGTACACACAATTGGTGCGGTGAGCGTGGATCACTTTGTCTCTGAGCTCTGCACTCAGGTCCGGCGATGGGGATTGAGGACAACCCACCTTTGACACATACTCCACAGACGAAGAAGACAAAGGAAAAAGGTCAAAGAGTCATAGACTATTTATTTTAGTGCTTTCATAATTCACCATAAGTTTGTTGCTAAACCACTCTTTTATTTTATTTATTATTATTTTTTTTTTCCCTGTGTTGTTTTTAGATTTTAGTAAAAATTGTTTAAGGTGTAAATGTCATCTATGCCAACTAAATGTTATTTAGGTTTCATGTGGTTTAAGTTTCGGTAGATGCTTGTCAAATATTTGTTTGTCATTGTATTTATCACCAAAAAAAAAAAAAAAAAATCATTGTCATTGTTGTTATCGTTTTCATTTATAGGTTTGATACATTCATTTATCTGCTCTGCCCCAACTACTGCTATCCTTGGGAAACCAAAAGAGCTTCCGAAGGATGGTATCAACTCTTTCAATCATTTTTTACTGCGTCCGGTGAAGTAAATGTTGCATCTGATTTAAAGAAATGTTGCATCTTGTTGAAGACCGAAAGAAGGTTTGATGAATCTAGATATGAAGTGGCTTGATGATTCTGTATTGTTGTTGTTTCCTTGGTTCTGGTCGTGCTGCTTCTTTTATCAAACTCTATTTGCTTTTGTGCACGTGTCACATATAAAAGCTCAATCGTAAATTGACTGGTTTTATGCTGATGCTACTGTTGTTGCTGCTTTGGCTTTCTAGCCTTTCTGTGCAGCTATTGCTATCTTCTCATGGTCTGTATGTTGTATCTGTTGCACATCTGTTCATGTCAGATGTAAACGAGGCCTAGATTGACTAAATGGTATTGTCCTAATCTTTTGCTTGCTTAGATGATTCCCATCCTTGTTTGTGTTGTCCGTGTATGCTCCTTGTACTATGTATTTACTTTTGATCTTTGGTATATATTGACTTACCCAAAAAAAATGATGTTTTGTTCATCAAATAATTTGAGTGTTGAAATTTGATTCATATTGTTTGGCTTCAGTTGCAGTCAGCATATTTTCACATTTTGCAGCAGTAGAGAGTGAGTAAGTGATGACAGACTAAAGATTGAAGTATCTAAGAATTACAAGTTCTGCCGAGGGGATGTCCACCTAGAGAATTTTTTTCTAAAAGAGAAGGGTGAAAAGATTTCACCTTCTAAACTCAAATCATATGAACAATGTTACTGTATAAATTAGTAATTATGTGCCTGAAATGGCAAAGGAAACTAGAGAATACTTCGTAATCTTTCAACAGCCTCCTCAGCCCTGCCTACTATGAGTTTGAGTCTTTCTGTCAAAACAAATCGAGCCAATAAACATTGAATACTAACCCTGTGACTATAATTACAGTGAGCGCAATCTCATATGATGAAAGATTCATTACATAGATTAATGGTTCTAGGTAGTTCTAATCTAAAAATCAAGAATGAAGCTCTCTTGATTAAGTGGTGGTGCAGGTTTGCATCTGAGCCAAATCTCCTTTGGAAAAGAGTGGTTTGTGAAAAGATAAATTGGGACAAGAGATGGGATATTTCATTTCTTAAACGATAATGCAGTTTTTTTTTCCCCTGAACATGTCCCCAATAATGTGCTTACTAAAATTGGGAAATGGAATGAGATTTCTCTTTTTGTTTGATAAATGGGTGTCTGATGTAACAAAGATGGTCTCATTAATGATTTCATCATTATGAGTATGTCATAGAGGAAGATTTTCTTGGTATGGGAGGAGGAGGACCATCATAGGTTGTTGCAAATGCTGCCAAAGGTTGATCAGGTTAATGCCAATCAATGGATCAGTTAATTTTGAGAGTGGATCCATCAGGTAACTTCTCACTAAAATCTTTACAAAACCTGTTTACCTCATCTCAATGTTGTATTATTCCTACAATAGAGTTTGTGGAAAAGCATTGCCCCTTTGGAATTGTTGTTTTTGCTTGGCTAGTCCGGCGCAAAAGGATTACCATTTGTGATCTTTTGATTAAAATGAATTCTCTGGATGAATCCTGTTCTAGGCTCTGTTAATATTTGTGCGAATGAGTTACCATGTAGAAGATCTTTGAAAATTTGGGGTGATTGTTTGTCTTGGTGGGGAATGGAATGAGTTTGTTTTTCATCAGTTAGTGTGCCTTACTTGATTGGTGGTTTGGAATAAAATTCAAGAATGTCAAAAAGCTCTTATGGGAGGCTATAATCATCCATGACAGTTTTTTGGACCATTTGGAAAACCAGAAATAACCTTATCTTCAATAATGGTTTAGCTTCTTGGGAAAATGTCTTGGTGTTAATTAAAGAGAAAGTTGCAACTCAGGTAAAAGGATATTGAAATATCCCTTGCTATTCAGTTGCTGATTTAATCTTAAAGATGAAAGAAGTCAGAGGCCTACACTTCCCTTTAAAAGGTGAAGGACTTCTGTGATTTTCAAGTTTTCCCTGGACAAGGATTTGCTCGGTTCTCTTTGTTCTTAGTGGTGTTAATGGCGATTCAGCTTTGGATGATGATAAGGACTGATTCAATATTGGAAGATGGATGAGAGTGGGAATGGAATGCAAGATGGCGTGGAATGAAATACTCATTCTCACTCTGCTGGTTGGTTTCTAACATTGAATGACGCGGAAAAATGGACACTTGTTAAGCTACTGTAGTGGAATGAAAATTCTAAACCAAAACACTGTTCAAAGAAAAAAATTCTAAACCAAAACTGATTTATACTATTAGGAATTGAAAACAATACTTACACAAACTTTCTTCTACAGAAAAAGGAGTACCTAAAAATTGAGTTGGTTGGATTAGTTGAGATTAAAAATCTTACGCTTGAATGGTTAAAAAATCCAAATAAATGAGTTATTTATCTCGTGTGGACTCAGCTAATGTCTGGTTGGTTTTGTGGCTCATTTTTGTTACTAATGTTCCCCATATATCAGTGACCAGGTTTTGAGAATTGACTTTCAAAAGGTCATAAACATGAAGGAAGGAAACTCACAGAAATCATCCAAAGTTTTGGACCTCAGCATCATCGAGAAACTTAACTAGTTGCTGTCTTGGCAGCCACTATGAGGCATTTGGCTCAACTGCGTGTATGTCATTCATGGTTCTGCTTTGCATTGTTCAGAAAGGCTTTTTTGGTTTTCATGGTTAATTGAGAGCCGTCAAAATAGTGTAATTTTTTTTTTAATTTTAAATTCTGACGCTTCACCTTTATTTCAGTACTAATTTTACCATCTATTTTATCACCTTCAGTTTCTTTTTCAAGCAGTTCATTGAGAGTCTGAGCTAGATAGATAATGCCATTGAGACTTGGGTTTTCTCTTTTCCATGTAAATTGTAAAAGTAAATTTCTAGCTTGTATACTGTTGTGACATGTGGTGTTTATCCAACTCAGGTTGTGTCTCTTTTCAGTTTCAATTGGCATAGACTTTGTGGACCTTCTTTCACATTTTATAGCATCACGACATGTAACATTGTAGAAACCATGAGTTTGATCGGTAAATCCTTTAGATTAGTTATTTAGATCTCTCTATATTTGTAGAAGTTTTCCCCAAAAAATATTTGCTCTATTCTCATAGGTGCATACAAGTCGCCACCAATACCAAGATCCTAATGTGCTATGCAGGAACGTACCAATTTGTTTTGAAATGCTTGAACCTGGAATCTACAAAATTTCTTTATTCATCCAGACGTTTACAAATTATGACTGTATTATAAGCAAAATAGCCTTTTAAATAGTTTACGAATGTGCTGGCAGGCCTCATAGTGACAGGAGGCTCATGAACTGAAACTGCATTTTTTTTACGTGCATGCGCACCACACAGAACAAGATAAAGCATTTTTGGTCTAATCGTCTTTTGAGTTGAAATTGATGTCTGCAAATCTAGCTTGAAAACCTTTGTATCTTTGGGTTGTAATGTGCTGTTGAAAAGCATTAAGTTATATTGATATCATTGTCATATGCAAGCTCAAAACAAATTATGTTTGAAGCATTTGTGCAGTCATCCTCTTGAGGAATAACTAATAAACATAGCATCCACAATTTTGTTTTTGTTTTGTTTTTTTTCTCTGAATTGGTCTTATTTGGTAATTGAAAGTTGAAATTGTCATATTCATAAGAGGCTAGCTTTTTCAGTGTTATGCGAACTGCCTTGTCTTTGCAGAAATTTAATCTAAAATTATTACTTTTCAGACAGTAGGGAACTCCAAATTCCATCAAATTAAATAAATATGGATGGAGGGCTGTTATATATCATTTAAATATTTCACTAATTTTTTTCATTTCTTGTGTGACTTCTCATATGGCTTGACGGGTCGATGACAAACATTAATTTTTGTCATCACAAGATCATGAAGTTAGCATATTTAGAAAACTAGCCGTACACTTCATTGTTTCATTCAATCTGAAAAATTAGGTCCCTTTCTAGTTTCCTCTAAAATTTTATAAGTGTAACCCAAAAATTTTAAAAATATAAAAATGGAAAAAAAAGTTATAGGTACAAAAAACTATTCACAAAAATATGAATTATTTTATTTATTTTGTCCTTTCCTGCTAAGCATGAACATGAGTCTATAGCTGAAAATATAGGCCAACAGCCAAAAGGTGACGCTAATCTAATTTAGGACATGTATTAACTGCATTATCTAATTTAGAGCACCAAAATCTCCCCTGAAGTCGGGAGAGAGAAAACCTTAAGATGCATGCACCCATCCCAACTTTAGGCAGTCAGAGTGTATGGTTCAGAACCAGATTCTTCATTAAAATTGAGGTGTCTCATTTACTTGAAATGTCTACTTCTCTTCAGCAGATTGTGCTCCATCACCCTTCAAACACTTTCCCAAAATGTCATATTGAGATCCCATTAATATACATCAATAAAAAGCACCAAATGGCATTTAAACATAAACGCAAGACCAAAGGAAACCATGACAAACACATATATTCATATTAATTGAACACTTTCAATTTGCTCAATTTTTGCTGAGTGTATGAAAACAATATAAATAAATAAACAGTGATCAAGCACAGATAAAAAGAGTTCCAATGATAAAAATTAAAAAAAAAAAAAAAAGAAGAGAGTTCCAATGAAAAAAAAAAAAAAAAAAGAGTTCCAATGAAGACAATATTTGGTTTCTTCTTCAGTACCTTGTACTGTTTTTTTTTTTTTGTACTCAACAACCAAATCTAACATGTATGTTGTGTTTGTTTGCTGCGAATTACAAGAAACAGAAAGATCATGAGTTTTATGACCATAGGATGAAGTGTGTGCATTGTTGTTATCCTTCCTACCTTGTCCATGTTTGGAACAAGCTCTTGTAGTTTCCTCATTCTTTCACTGATCTGGGTTCTCCTTGACTGTGAATTGCATGAATAAAGGAAGAAAACAAGTCACCAATGATAGATGTAAGCAGGAAAAAACTAGCTTTCATTCTGGAAAATCAACAATAAGAAGATTTGAGGACATATGAAAAATGACATGCCTTGTACCAACTTATTTAAAGATCTCCTGACCTCAAGTAAAGCACTCTACTCGCGATTGGGATTTTGATATAACTAGCAGGTACCAAAGATGAAAACCAAGCTTGAAAGCTTTAAACCCACAACAATGGTGGAAAAGGGTTAGACGAGAGAGAAAGAACAAGAGAGAATGAAGAAAAGTGGACCAAAAAGTGACTTTTAAACATACTGAATTCGGATACTTCGCTTGAGTGACCAATCCCTCGCTCGAGCAAAGAACACAGATTCCCAGAAGTTCAGATTCAACAAGACAGACCGCTCGAGCAACTACTCATGCGCTCTAGCGAACATCGACAACTCACAGAATCTCAGGCAGACCTGCAAAAATACTGGGAGCTTCGCGAGACCACTCGGGCAAACATTCCTTTGCTCGAGTGACGAGAAAAAGAAAAGAAATTCTGGAGTGCAACAACCTCCCCACCTTAAGAAATTTCATCCCCGAAATTAGGGAAGGACTGAAACCAAAGGACAAACCAATTCAGATGGAAACACAACCTCTGACTTAATACACGTGGGATATATTCCCGAAATAAAATCGGAGTCAAATTAGAAGCTATTCAATTCTGAGGGCAAGACATAACTTCCAATCAAAAGCTAGACTCACAATCGATATAAATTCTCGAATTCAGACTCAAAACCTCAACGCCCCAAAGACACCCAAACAAGAAGAAGCACGAGAAAGAGATCATAATTTATCAGTACACTCATCAAAATCCAAGAGACGAGGAACAACACCAACCATTCTACTCCCCTAATGACAACACCGCACAAAGATGACCAGGAGAGACCAAATCCCAATGTCGAAGGGAAAGGAAACCACCATAAAACAATACCTGGACAACACTTGCGAAAGAAAAGACGCCCCATACTCACTGCCCAAAACACAAATTGATATAACAATTGCAATCGCATTATATTTCCTCAAAATAAATATGCCAATATATATATACACATACACAACAAGCAATTCAACCCAAGTTTCCATACAACCCCATTATAAGAGATAGAACAATGAACGGTCGCAATTTTGTAAACAAAATTCTCCATTCCTCTTGAAAATCTTTTCATTTTTATATATATTCCCACTTAGATTAGATCTTCCACATTAATTTAACTATGCCATCCTAGGCCACAACACAAGGAAAAGAAATTTTCATTTTCCAAACCATTCTCAACATTCATTCGGTGAATCCCAACCATCACCCAACAACCTCCATCACCCACCCGGTGATGTTACAACCCATTTACCACACACATCTGTAATAACAATGAATAGAAACAATAATAACAGTGCATTCGAGGCATAACACAGCACATACGACTTCCCGAAAGTTGGAAGTTCCCAATCACTACAAACATCATCACTAACAATCGATAGTACACATTGGCACAAGTGCGATTACAATAATCTACATTCAAACACTTTGATTCAATTTGAGTCATTTCACAGGTTCATATCAACAACATACACACACAAGCAAAGCTCAATGCCCTCCGGTACTACCTAAGTACCACCCAACCGTACCACTTTTTACTCAAACCAAATCAATTCCCAAGATGACTATATGTCAATAAACTTCGAATACCACGCATCCAGACCACCGATTCCAAACCAAACCAAGCAACCAAACCAAATCAAACCAAGTCTTGAGTC